ACACAACACACAAACCCCCACAAAACACACACACACACACACACACACACACAACATACACACACAACACGCACACACACACACATTGCCAACTCACACATACACAACACCCCACACACACACACAGCAGAGGTCAGGATACGGGTTTAGAAGAGGGAAATGAAAAATCTGAAACAGCCCAAAGAACTAAAAAACATTTTGGGATTGACAACAAACTGCTAACCTCAGTCACAAAAAAGGGACTTAAGGAAAGAAGGGGGAAAACTGCATGTAAAGCTCAATCAATGGAGACTTAGTAAATGAAAAAAGCTAAGCTAAATGTGGAGGGGCCCAAAAAGACCACACAAGCCCAGGAAACCGAAGGAAAAAGAAGGCCGTGACCCGGACATTTGCTAGTGAAACTGAAGAAAGAAAGCTGAAATGGAGGGAAAACAAATTAAAGAGGGATACACATGGGAAGCATGGAGAATGAAAGGGGGAGGTCAGTCCTTTGTGTATGGGCTCCAGGAAGTTGAAGGGAAACATATGAAGCAAGAAAACAAGGGGGAAAAAAGAATTGAAAACATCATGAAAGCAATAGGAAAGACGACATGACCACTGGAAAATTTTCGGGAATAGGGGGGGTTTTTAAAAAAAAGAACCCGGCCCGTGAAAATGCCTTCAAGGCAGAATCGATCGGAACAGGATCCTGCAGGAAAAGCACGATTAAGGGACTGCCGCATACAGGGAAGGGGTACCGATGACAGAACACAAACAAAAGGCAGAAACTGAGAGAGATGACAAAAGGGGAAAGGAGGATAGAGAGGGGATGGAGAAGACAGACAGGAGATCCCGACCAGGAAGATCAAAAAGGGCCTCCCTCACAACTTCCCATGAACCCCAACCAGGTCAACCCCGTGCAACCAAAAAACTCTAAAAAAAAAACACCCTGCCACAACCCAAAGCCCCCCCCCCTGCATTACAAAATCCACCCCCACACAACCACCCAAGTTCCCTTTTCAGTCCCCCACTTCCCCACCCCAAAACACCCCCCCAGACCACAATCTTAGAAAAGAAGTTTTTGGGGGTATACAAAGCAATGGGAAAAACAAATAATAGAGGAGTGGGGCCAAAAAACAAGGGAAAAATCCCAGACATAATAGCATCCAGAAACAAAACTCACCAGAAAATAACGATTGATCTTTCCCCTCCGGATATCAAATCCCAGGGAAAAACAGAGGGAGGAGAGGGGGAGGAGGATTGCACGCTCGTTTAAAACCCTGGGGGTTTTGAGAAATGAAGATGGACGGCACGGCGAAAGGGACTATTTTAGGGAAAAGTCCCCGTCTGAGGGACATAAGGTATAATTGCAGTAATGACAACCCCCACAGAACTGCAGGAAGCCAAGAGAAAAAACGATAGAGCAACAAACAATGGTCACACACTAGCCGAGGTGGCCAGGAGAGCACACATGGGGGGAGCAAAGTTATGGGTGATTTCAATCACAAGGAGATTGACTGGGAAAACCTGAAGCCCCATGGGGGTCCCGAAGCATGGAGAGCCAAGATGATGGATGTGGTACTGGAAAACCTCATGCATCAACATGTTAGAGACACTACCAGAGAGAGAGGAGAGGATGAACCAGCAAGACTGGACCTTGTATTCACCTTGAGTAGTTCTGACATCGAGGATATCATGTATGAAAGGCCCCTGGGAGCTAGTGATCATGTGGTTCTGTGCTTCGACTACATCGTTGACCTCCAAGTGGAGAGAGCAGCAGGAATAGGCTGGGAAAAACCAAACTACAAAAGGGGGAACTACTCAGGCTTGAGGAACTTCTTTCAAGACATTCAGTGGGAGAGGGAACTGACAGGAAAACCAGTACAAGAAATGATGGACTATGTCGCAACAAAATGCAAGGAGGCAGAGGAGAGGTTTGTTCCCAAGGGAAACAGAAATAATGGGAAGAACAGAACGAGTCCTTGGTTCACCCAAAGGTGTAGGGAGGCAAAAACTAGGTGTACTAGAGAATGGAAAAGGTACAGAAGACAGAGAACTCAGGAAAATAAAGAGATTAGCCGAAGAGCCAGAAACGAATATGCACAGATAAGAAGGGAGGCTCAGCGGCAATACGAAAATGACTCATCATCGAAAGTAAAGACTGACCCGAAGCTGTTGTACAGCCACATCAGGAGGAAAACAACAGTCAAGGACCAGGTAATCAGACTGAGGAAGGGTGATGGGGAATTCACAAGAAACGACCGGGAGGTATGTCAGGAGCTCAACACGAGATTCAAAGAAGTATTTACAGTGGAAACCAGTAGGACTCCAGGAAATCAGAGCAGGGGGTGCACCAGCAAGTGCTGGATGAGGTACATATAACCAAGGAGGAGGTGAAGAAGCTGCTATGCGAACTTGACACCTCAAAGGCGGTGGGAACAGACAACATCTCTCCGTGGGTCCTTAAAGAGGGAGCTGAGATATTGTGTGTACCATTAACAAAGATCTTCAACACATCATTTGAAACTGGGCAACTCTCCGAGGTATGGAAGATGGCAAATGTAGTCCCAATTTTTAAAAAGGGAGACAGACATGAGGCACTAAACTACAGACCTGTATCACTAACGTGTATAGTATGCAAGGTCATGGAGAAGATCATCAGGAGGAGAGTGGTGGAGCACCTGGAAAGAAACAAGTGTATAATTGACAACCAGCATGGTTTCAGGGAGGGAAAATCCTGTGTCACAAACCTACTAGAGTTTTATGACAAGGTGACAGAAGTAAGACAAGAGAGAGAGGGGTGGATCGACTGCATTTTTTTGGACTGCAAGAAGGCCTTCGACACAGTTCCTCACAAGAGGTTACTGCAAAAGCTAGAGGATCAGGCACACATAACAGGAAAGGCACTGCAATGGATCAGAGAATACCTGACAGGGAGGCAACAACGAGTCATGGTACGCGACGAGGTGTCAGAGTGGGCGCCTGTGACAAGCGGGGTTCCACAGGGGTCAGTCCTAGGACCTGTGCTGTTCTTGGGATATGTGAATGACAAAACGGAAGGGATAGACTCAGAAGTGTCCTTGTTTGCGGATGATGTGAAGTTAATGAGAAGAATCAAATCAGATGAGGATCAGGCAGGACTACAAAGAGACTCTGGACAGGCTACAAGCCTGGTCCAGCAACTGGCTCCTTGAGTTTAACCATGCCAAATGCAAAGTCATGAAGATTGGGGAAGGGCAAAGAAGACCGCAGACACAATATAGTTTAGATGGCCAAAGTCTGCAAACCTCACTCAAGGAAAAAGCTCTGGGGGTGAGTATAACACCGAGCATATCTCCTGAGGCGCACATCAATCAGATAACTGCTGCACATACGGGCGCCTGGCAAACCTACGGATAGCGTTCCGATACCTCAGTAAGGATTCGTTCAAGACTCTGTTTACCATTTACGTCAGGCCCATAGTGGAGTATGCAGCACCAGTTTGGAATCCACACTTAGTCAAGCACGTCAAGAAATTAGAGAAAGTGCAAAGGTTTGCAACAAGACTAGTCGCAGAGGTACGGGGATTGTCCTACGAAGAAAGGTTGAGGGAAATCGGCCTGACGACACTGGAGGCCAGGAGGGTCAGGGGAGACATGATAACGACATATAAAATACTGCGCGGAATAGACGAGGTGGACAAAGACGGGATGTTCCAGAGAGGGGACACAGACACAAGAGGTCACAATTGGAAGTTGAAGACTCAGATGAATCAAAGGAATGTTAGGAAGTATTTCTTCAGTCATAGAGTAGTCAGGCCGTGGAATAGCCTAGAAAGTGAAGTAGTGGAGGCGGGAACCATACATAGTTTTAAGGCGAGGTATGATAAAGCTGATTGAGCAGGGAGAGAGAGGGCCTAGTAGCAATCAGTGAAGAGGCGGGGCCAGGAGCTATGACTCGACCCCTGCAACCACAAATAGGTGAGTACAAATAGGTGAGTACACACACACACACACACACACACACACACACACACACACACACACACACACACACACACACACTCACACACACACACTCACACACTGCAAACCTCGCTCAACGAAAAAGATCTTGGGGTCAGTATAATACCGAGCACATTTGAGGCGCACACCAACCAGATATCTGCTGCAGCATATGGGTACCTGGGAAACCTAAGAATAGCGTTCCGATACCTCAGTAAGGAATAGTTCAAGACTCTGTATACCGTGTACACCAGGTCCATACTGGAGTATGCAGCACCAGTTTGGAATCCACACCTGGTCAAGCACATCAAGAAATTAGATAAAGTGCAAAGCTTTGCAAAAAGACTAGTCCCAGAGCTAAGGGGACTGTCCTACGAAGAAAAGTTACAGGAAATCGGCCTGACGACACTGGAGGATAGGAGGATTAGGGAAGACATGATAACGATATATAAAATACTGTGAGGAATTGACAATGTAGACAAAGACAGGGTATTCCAGAGATGGTACATAGAAACAAGGGGTCACAATTGAAAGCTGAGAACTTACATGAGTCTAAGGGATGTTAGGAAGTATTTCTTTAGTCATAGAGTTGTCAGGAAGTGGAATAGTATGGCAAGTGACGTAGTGGAGACAGGAACCATACACGATTTTAAGACGAGGCTTGATAAAGCTCATGGAACAGGCAGAGAGAGGACCTAGTAGCGATCAATGAAGAGGCAGGGCCAGGAGCTGAGTCTCGACCCCTGCAATTACAAATAGGTGAGTACACACACACACACACACAAGCACACGCAGCATAAAAATTTCACAAGTGGGATAACAAGAAAGAAATTAATTCTCTGGAGAAATCTATTGAAAGTGCAAGCAGAGCAGAGGGGATAAAGTGGAATGAAGTGTGTGAAGGAGTTGGAGGAGTGAGGGGGGTGAAGAGTGGAGTGTGTGGAGGAGGAAGAAGAAGAAGAATTGGAGGAGGAGGAGGAGGAGAAGATAGAAGTTTTGCCTAAGATGTCTCACCATTATCTCTTATCTCCTCGTCAGAATCTCGCTGACATTGTCATGTCCCATGGATCTGAAGCTGTTCCCACTAGACCGTCAGCAGTGTCAGCTCCTCATGGCCTCCTGTGAGTATACTCTCTCATTGATATACTCCCTCAGCATGATATATCACATTCCAGCACAGTATATCTCCCTCCAAGTAGGTATATTGTCTTCCAACACAATATATCCCTATCCATCACAGAGTATCTCCATCCATCATGATATATCTCCCTCCAACAGTGTATATCTCCCTCCAGCACAGTATATCTCCCTCCAACACAGCATATCTCCCTCCAACACAGCATATCTCCCTCCAACACAGCATATCTTTCTCCAGCACAGTATATCTCCCTCCAACACAGCATATCTCCCTCCAACACAGCATATCTCCCTCCAACACAGCATATCTTTCTCCAGCACAGTATATATCCCTCCAACACAGCATATCTCCCTCCAACACAGTATATCTCCCTCCAGACAATGCAGTTTATATTCTCTTGATATTAAAGAATATATTGTATATTAAGTACCCACAGGACACTCACAGAACAGGTCAGTCACACTGTGGATGCTCTCTCTCTCTCTCTCTCTCTCTCTCTCTCTCTCTCTCTCTCTCTCTCTCTCTCTCTCTCTCTCTCTCTCTCTCCCTCCCTCCCTCCCTACACACACCCCCATCTCACAGACGGGTGGACCACAGAGGACCTGGTGTTCCTCTGGAAGGACGTTGATCCCGTGCAGGTGACCAAGAACCTTCACCTGCCTCGCTTCACCTTAGAGAAGTTCATCACTGACTACTGCAACAGCAAGACCAACACTGGTAAGTCACTCTATCTATTATCATTATTATCAAAATCTAGAGAAATGTATCATTATTATTATTTATTATTATTATTATTTTATTATTATTATTATTATTATTATTATTATTATATTATTGTTGTTGTTGTTGTTATTATTATTATTATTATTATTATTATTATTATTATTATTATTATTATTATTATTATTATTATTATTTATTATTATTATTATTGTTGTTGTTGTTGTTATTTATTATTATTATTATTTATTGTTGTTGTTGTTGTTGTTGTTGTTGTTGTTGTATTATTATTATTATTATTATTATTATTATTATTATTATTATTATTATTATTATTATTATTATTATTATTATATTATCATTATTATTATTATTGTTGTTGATGTTATTATTATTATTATTATTATTATTGTTGTTGTTGTTGTTGTTGTTGTTGTTGTTGTTGTTATTATTATATTATTATTATTATTATTATTTTATTTATTTATTTATTATTATTATTATTATTATTTATTATTATTATTATTATTATTATTATTTTGTGGGAGGTAGTCAGGATTGATTCGACACAGGGAAGGGAATCTCCAATAAATTAGATGAAGGGTTATTTGGTTGAGAATGATTTGGCATTAAGAAAGACCTTCCTGGCAAAGGCCAGTAGGCCTGCTGCAGTGCTTCTCAAGTCTTACACAGTTCTAACTTACTGAGGAACAAGACACACTTAAAGATACCCAAGAGCTGTACTTGTGTCTTATTTCTCGTCTTATGTTCTCGTTCATTCTCAGTAATTACTTCTACCGTTCTCATTTTCCTCATTTTTTTTTTTAATTAACTAATGGAGATTTTTTTCCTAAGTTGCTGACAATAGTAAAAAAAAATCGGCTAAAGAAAAAGATTTTACCGAGGTAAATAAAACTGTATTTTTCAATCTGGGTCGTTTCTTTGCCAGCGCAGCCTGGACGACCTGGAAGTCAAGTGTCGTACACATGGGTTTTACACAGAAACTTTGACGTTTCTGATAGAATTTCACAAATTAATAAAGAAAAAGCTCCAGTGTCATAAAGATATGCCTCTGAATAGGTTATGTGACATAGATATCATGTGACATAGATGTCATGTAATATAGATGTCATGTGACATAGATGTCATGTGACATAGATGTCATGTGACATAGATGTCTTGTGACATAGATGTCATGTGACACAGATGTCATGTGACATAGATGTCATGTATATAGATGTCATGAACAGATGTCATGTGACATAGATGTCATGTGACATAGATGTCATGTGACACAGATGTCATATGACATAGATGTCATGTGACACAGATGTCATGTGACATAGATGTCATGTGACATAGATGTCATGTGACACAGATGTCATATGACATAGATGTCATGTGACACAGATGTCATATGACATAGATGTCATGTGACACAGATCATGACTAGATGTCATGTGACACAGATGTCATATGACATAGATGTCATGTGACACAGATGTCATGTGACATAGATGTCATGTGACACAGATGTCATGTGACATCGATATCATGACATTTAATAATTTTCTTAACCTAACTGGAAAATTTTCCAAATCTTTGACAAGATTACATTGAAAATAATTTTCGTCCAAGGTTTAAAAACTGACTTATTACCTTCTTTGAGATGCTGTTAAATTTTTACGACAAAAAAAAACAGTGTTTTGATGTGTGAAATAATTTTTTATTTTTTTTTTTCGGGACACCTTGCCTCGGTGGGAAGCGGCCGATGTGTTAATAAATAAAGCTTAAAAATTTTGATTGTAAATAGGCATATTTATTATTTATATGTAAATTGCTGGAATTTTTCCAAAAAAGTGCCTTTGAAAATAATGTAGTTTCGTGCCCGTTTCATTATATTTTTTGACTACTCAATAAATATTATCCTCTGTCTTTTCTCTCTCTCTTTCTTTCTTCTTTTGTAATTTTACGAGAGATAAAAATGAATAGTTGCTATACTAGGTAGAAGTAGATAGTCCTCAGTAGATAGTCCTCAGTAGATAGTTCTCAGTAGATAGTTCTCAGTAGATAGTTCTCAGTAGATAGTTCTCAGTAGATAGTCCTCAGTAGATAGTTCTCAGTTTGGACTTCTAAGTCCTTTGTTCTCTGTCTCTCCCATGTACTCATGTGAAGAGGGAAACATGTACTTGTATTCCCATATACTCCCATGTACTCCCATATACTCCCATGTACTCCCAAATACTTCCATGTACTCCAGTGTATATTCCTCCCATATTATTTCTCAAGATTATTTATGTTAGTGAATGTGGTGTTGAAAGAATGCAATAAGAATTTTCAGAACAAGCATTCACTGGTTCGACGTTTCGCCCTCTGTAGAGCTTCATCACATTAATTACCTGATAAAGTTCTACCTAGAGCGAAACGTTTCTGCAATACAATCTTCTGCAAGATAATGCTCTATTTCGTCCTGCAGTGCTGGAAGTTGGTACAATATTAGATACAGTTGTGAGGGCTGATTGTTCATGAACATGTTCATCCAGTCTGACAGTGGATGAATTATCCCACTCTTGCCATCCTTCGGTTAATATTAACATGTATCTGTGTGTGTCCGTGAGAAAGACTGTGTATAATTAACCTGTTTTTACCATAGTTTTTTTTTTCTTTGAGTGAACTAGGCCTATTAGTGTTCATTACTAGTGAGGCTCTTATCATTAATGCTAACTTAATTTTTGTGTTTGACTTACTAACCACCCACCCTCACTTACAGGTTAATTACGGTGACCTGGTTAATTTTCCTGAGTAATTACTTTGCATTCGTCCTGTACTAATCTTCTAGCCTTCTATCAACGCCTTTGTCTCGATCTATTCCTAATTAACCTTCCTAAACTTTCTATTTTTTTTTAATTCATCTCTCCTGATTTCTAAACTTTTGTTTTAAATCTAGAAAATAGGACACTAAACTATTAACTATTGACTTACGGGGAAATTGCCTCCCGCGACCAGGTCAGAGACCAAGTTTTCTGGTTGCTGGTCTAATCAACCACAAGAAGAAGAAGACGAGGAGGAGGAGGAGAAGGAGGAGGACGAGGAGAAGAAAAAGAAGAAGAAGAAGAAGAGGAAGAAGAAGAAGAAGAAGAAGAAGAAGAAGAAGAAGAAGAAGAAGAAGAAGAAGAAGAAGAAGAAGAGGAAGAAGAAGAAGAAGAAGAAGAAGAAAAGTCTTTGGTCCCAGGCTGAAGCATTCTATAAAATTTCACTCCGAATTATGAAAAACTGTGAATTGTTCCAGCCACTGTATTTTGAGTTACTTGTGATTTGTTCCAACCACGGTACTGTTAGTTAGTTTTTCTTTCCTGGTGCATTTCTTGGCACTTGAGCAGATGAATCTACACACACACACACACACACACACACACACACACACACACACACACACACACACAGGAGGAAGAGGAATGGCTGCAAAATGGATCTGAATAAATGGAAAGAGTGGTCAGGTAAGTTGATGCTTGAATTCAACCCCACCAAATGTTTGGTCATGAAGACTGGGTAAGAAGCAAGAAGACTGGACACGGAGTAAGGACTCGGGAGGAAAGAGGCTGCAGACTGCACTCCGAGAGAAAGACTCAGGGGTGAGCATATTGCTCAGGGTATCACCAGAGGCTCACATAAAGCAAAGAGCCTATAATTGATGTTCGTCTGGCAAATCTAAGAATGGCCTTCAGGAATCTCAGCAGAAAGCAAATTCTTGTTCTTTATACAACAGATGTCAGGACTATCTTGGAGTACGCAGCACCAATATGGAGCCCACACCTAAGAAAATCTGTTCAAAAACTGCAGAGGAGCAAGGAGATTTGTTGTAGTTGGATGGTTCAGAGAACCGACACGTTGATAAATTAGACACATGTGCAACTCTTGGGTATCTTTATTTAGGAAACGTTTCGCCACACAGTGGCTTCATCAGTCCATGCAAAGGAGAATCGTGAAGAACAGGAGGAGAATGAGGTAATCAGTCCCTCAACCTTGAGTCGATGTGGTCAGTCCATCAATCTTGAATAGAATACGGCATAAGTGCGGAGAAGTGGCTTATATACCGTAGGTAGGAGAGGTGCAGCAGTCGTAGGTGGTGTCACATTTGTTCATGTGGAAGTAGGTCGTGCCCAAGGGTTAGGCAAGCGAAGAATTCCCATTCATCCACATTCCTGTCAGACGCTGCAACTTCTTTGGATATAAATACTTGGGAATTCTTCGCTTGGCTAACCTTTGGGCACGACCTACTTCCACATGGACAAATGTGACACCATCTACGACTGCTGCACCTCTCCTACCTACGGTATATAATCCACTTCTCCGCACTTATGCCGTATTCTATTCAAGATTGATGGACTGACCACATCGACTCAAGGTTGAGGGACTGATTACCTCATTCTCCTCCTGCTCTTCACGATTCTCCTTTGTATGGACTGAAGAAGCCACTGTGTGGCGAAACGTTTCCTCAGTGAAGATACCCAAGAGTTGCACATGCGTCTAATTTATCAACGAGATTTGTTTCTGACCTAAGGGGCATAACTAGTGAGCAGATGTTAACGGAATTAAATCTAATGACATTAGAGGACAGAAGAACCAGGGAGGACATGGTAACAACATACAAAATAGGAAGAGGAAGTGACAGGGTAGCCAAGAAGTATTTATTCAGTCTCAGAGTGATCAGGAAGTGGAATAATTTCGGTGACGAAGCAGTGGAAGCAGACCCCATACGTAGTTTTAAGAGAAGGTATGACAGTATACGAGGCTAGGAGGGGCAAGAAGCAAATTGAGAGGCCGGCCAGGAGCTGGGACTCGACCAGAAAGAGCATAGAAACAAAATGGAATTACAGTATGAGCTAGAAAGAAGTAAAGAGCGACATAGTGAGAGCAAAAGAGAGGAAGAAAAAAGAGAATAAGAGTGAACGAAAGTGGTAGCGCCAGAAATTATTCCCCGAGAATAAAGTCTGCGGATCCATCCAGCCATGTTTCACTACTCCCTCCCGCACTACGCCAGGAGAGACGGACGGTGATTCTTACCTCTACTAATCCGCTCGCGCCCTCTAAACACCAACTCTAATCATTACCGTGCACGCTGGGAAGCACTAAACTTCCAAGGGTCATACAGTGCCCGGTAAACAGCTACTAAAATGCCCGGGTACTGGTGTCGGAAGACCTTCCACCTGATTACCAACCAGACAAACAAAGGAAGTATTGGTGGAGTCCAAGAAAGTGATGAACGCAGCGCTCACATTTTAATAATAGTAATAATAATAATAATAATAATAATAATAATAATAATAATAATAATAATAAATAATAATAATAATAATAATAATAATAATAATATTATTATTATTATTATTATTATTATTATTATTATTATTATATTATATTATTATTATTATTATTATTATTATTATTATTATTATTATTATTATTTATTATTATTATTATTATTATTATTGCTGTTGTTGTTGTTGTTACTGTAATAATAATAATAATCGTAATGATAAGAATAATAATAACTATAATATCAGTAATATTAATATGAATAAAAATATTAATATTAACAACGCATCTGTTGATGGATGCTTTGGTCGTCAGAAACATCTGAGCTTATGTAGATCCTAACGTTATAGAATTAATTCATTTTTCTCCTCTGCATCTCTGAGTGACATAAGAATGAAGGATGGGACAATCAGATCCTGGGCAAGTGCGCTATGTTAATGTGTGACAGCTTCATATGTACGTGTGTGTGTGTGTGTGTGTGTGTGTGTGTGTGTGTGTGTGTGTGTGTGTGTGTGTGTGTGTGTGTAAAGGGAAGGGGATCTGTATGTGCTTTTTCACACATTCATTCATTATCTTTGGTGCATAACAGGAAGATTTTCCATTGCTAAAAGTTGGTGAAAAGGAGATGAGTTTTCAGAATATATCTTTCTCAAGGTAACTCACAATCCTTCCTGCTCCAGCTGACAGATATCAGAGTTTCGTAACCTGAGGAATCCTTGGACTCCCATACGCCGTCAAAGCTCCTACACCGTTTAGTGGCCTTTGCAATTATCAATTCACCCCGTCCTTCAACTTCAGGCCAACACCGGAGGCAACGAACCCGTGCTTTTTTGCACTCTGTAATTTCAGCCAAGAACCGTGAAGAGACGTCCATACAGAGAGCGTGAGAAACATAAAACCACAGGGCGTGGGCGAGAGGACAAAAAAAAAAAACACCACGGTTTTCATTTTAAGAATTTTCTCCATGCCCTCGCAATTCAGAGTTAACTGCTTGGAAAATTTCATGGGCTGGAGCAATGGGGAAAACATTCATGGGGTTCGTGGAAAACACTCCTCTCCCTGGGTGCTCCCATGAGGTGATTACCACCTCAGGCTTGTGACCACTGATAAATATTGAGTGCCAATGGAAATACCAGTGTTCGTAAAGAATTTTTATTGAAAGGGACAAATTCTTACAGTGTTTATTATTATTATTATTATTATTATTATTATTATTATTATTATTATTATTATTATTATTATTATTATTATTATTATTATTATGATTATTATGATTATTATGATTATCATTATTATTATTATTATTATTATTATTATTATTATTATTATTATTATTATTATTATTATTATTATTATTATTATTATTATTATTATTATAATAATAATTATTATTATTATTATTATTATTATTATTATTATTACAGTTATTTAAGTTATTGATAATATTATTATTATCATTATTATTATTGTTGCTGTTATTATTATTATTATTATTATTATTATTATTATTATTATTATTATTGCTGTTATTATTATTGTTATTATTACATGAAAAGCATGGCCGTAAGATTCACCGGCCATTATATACTGAAGCCATTAAGAAGAGACAGACTGAAATTTATTTAACGTGATTTATAAAAAAAAATAACATTATTACACTGTTTAATACATAAAATTGGTCGCTGTTCACCTACCTACTTGAATTTTCCTCTCTGCCGTCGTTAAATAAGGAAGCACCTTTTTCAAAGGTTTGCAGCCACGCTGCAGAGGGTTTTGAGAGTTATCTGAGCCATTCCAAGATGCCACGAACACAGCTTCGATTATATTGAAGTGAGAAACCATTTGAATTTAGAATGGATGTAAATGAGTGCTCGGAGAATTCGTTTATTGCTTTATGTGAGAGTTTATACAGGAGAAAGATTATTACAGGACCTCAGTGTATCTGAATGATTTATATGATAATGTTGGTCTAATAAGTGTCTGGATGCTTCATACAGGAACGAACCCCTTATCAGTGCATAGATTTATTGATATTAATCACCTAAATGTCTCAAACAGTAATGCATACATGGGAATTCGTAGAGGAGAGAGACTGTTAGTGTTGAAAAGACTTTCAAGGTAAGCAATGGGAGACTTCAAACGGGAGAGACATCATTCCAGTGTCGAGTCTTCAAAGCATAAACATGGACACTTCTATACAGTTCAGGTTTACGCCTTAAGTAGGAGCCAGTAAACTCCGACAAGGACGATGTGAGTGTATGTACCCTGCTATATAGTAGCATTTAGGTGAGTACACATAGGAGGTGAGTCTGTCTGGCGCTCAGCAGACGGAGGATCGAGCCTCCACCAAGCCTTGCTCTGAATGACCCCAAAGAGGTTGAGCACTTAACATGAATTAAATCTGATTAAATTATGTACAAGTCAGGTTATTTCAGGCCTGGATCTCTTGAGAGGATTCAGCTCTAGCTCCTGGGTATCTTGAGAGGACTCAGCTCTAGCTCCTGGGTATCTTGAGAGGGTTCAGCTCTAGCTCCTGGGTATCTTGAGAGGATTCAGCTCTAGCTCCTGGGTATCTTGAGAGGGTTCAGCTCTAGCTCCTGGGTATCCTGAGAGGATTCAGCTCTAGCTCCTGGGTATCTTGAGAGGATTCAGCTCTAGCTCCTGGGTATCTTGAGAGGGTTCAGCTCTAGCTCCAAGGTATCTTGAGAGAATAGAATAAATCGGCCAGACATGTGTATGACACACAAGCGAACATGTGTATTCACAAGACCTCTCTCTAACCTCCACCACTTACTACCTCCCTCCATCCTCCACCCTCCATCCTCCATCCTCCACCCTCCACCTTCCTCCACCCTCCACCTCAGTCTAATCACCTACTTCCTCTACCTATCGCCTGTTTTCCTATCTTTCCGGCTTTCGTCTTTCGTAACTACAATGTGTGTCGCTCTCTTCCTCTTAAACATATGCATTAGACAGTTTTCCTTTCTCCCTCTTTCCCACTTTCTAATATTATCCTTCTGTCTTTACCATTTTCTCCTCTCCTCTTAGTAATTTTTTTACCTCCATTCTTTCTTTTAATACTTTCTCTTTATCTTTTCTTACAATATTTTTTCCTCTGTTTCTCCTTAAATATTTTTAATTACGCCTTTTCAATGCTGCACTATTTTTTATTGTACCTTGGAATTTATATCGGTGTTTTATTTTGTACCTTAAAATCCTTATTTCTTGACTTCTGTATTCCATCGTTTATCACCTCTAGTGTACTCACTGCATGTTTCTAATTTACACCTCCCTTTCCACTGCATTCTTCCACCTGCTGGCTCTGTTCCCTTCCCTGTAGGACTTAATTGAGAGTCAACCTGATACCTCACTCCTTCCATGTCTCTAATCTGCAATCTCCCATCAGCCCTTTGCTTCACAGATATTCCAGGTCTCACTTTAAGAGCAGCCTCCATCCGCTAGGAAGGTCGCGCTACGAATCAGGACAGTAATGATTCTCATGTTCAGGTGAATACTCCTGTCTGCTGGTGGCGCTGATCTTCAAGAGAGAGTTCTCGTACTACCTCATCCAGTACTACATACCCTGCTGTATGTTGGTGATCGTGTCTTGGGTGTCCTTCTGGCTGGATCAGAACGCAGTGCCGGCCAGAGTGGCTCTCGGGGTCACCACTCTCCTGACTATGTCCACGCAGACCTCCTCCATCAACCAGTCGCTGCCTCCTGTGTCCTACACTAAGGTACCGCCCTTAGGCACCCCTTAGCGACCTCTTTAGTAACCTCCCTTAGATATTGGACGGGTGACTACAGTTGCCTTCGCGTAAACCTGAACTTCAAGGGAGAGTTCCATTTTCCTTCACCCAGTACTAATATCCCCAGATGTATGTTGATAACCGTGTCTTGGGTGTCCTGGTACGACCAGAACGCCGTCCTTGCGCGGGTGTCCCTGGGGGTAAACACGCTTCTCACTATGTCCATAAATACATACCTTTTCCAACATCCAGTTGCTGCGTCCTGCGTCCTAAACCCAGGTACCTCCCTCACGCCTCCCATAGACACCCATTTAGTAACCTCCCTTGTTAACTATTGGACAGGTGAATACAGTTGCCTTCGCGTAGACCTCGTCTTCAAGAGAGAGTTCTCGTACTACCTCATCCAGTACTACATCCCCTGCTGTATGTTGGTGATCGTGTCTTGGGTGTCCTTCTGGCTCGACCAGAACGCCGTCCCCGCCAGGGTGTCCCTGGGGGTAACCACGCTCCTGACGATGTCCACGCAGACCTCCAGTATAAATAATACGCTGCCGCCCGTATCCTACACCAAGGTCAATCCACAAAGTGTCTCAGTATGCCCTGCATCATGTGGAGACGTCTAGCCAGGTCCTGACGGGGTCTCAAGACCCCAGCACGCCAAAACCCACGCGGCGTTGTTTGCATGCACGCCCACTTACGCCCACAACTTTACCCCCGCCCTCCCCTCCCCTCCCCTCCCCTCCCCTGCCCCCCTTACCTAACAGGCGCTGCCATGGCCACTTGCCCACCTGCTCCCCTTAACCTTTCAAAGAGAGTTAACCAGCCTGGTGTCCCTTCCCTGGGCGGCACCGTAGTGCCCACTGTACTGGTGATGTTCACCTGGTGAGTACTGTACTGGGTCTACCTAGTAAGTACTGTACTGGGTCCACCTAGTAAATACTGTACTGGGTCTACCTAGTAAATACTGTACTGGGTCTACCTAGTAAATGCTGTACTGGGTCTACCTAGTAAATACTGTACTGGGTCTACCTAGTAAGTACTGTACTGGGTCCACCTAGTAAATACTGTACTGGGTCTACCTAGTAAATACTGTACTTGGTCTACCTAGTAAATACTGTACTGGGTCTACCTAGTAAATACTGTACTGGGTCTACCTAGTAAATGCTGTACTGGGTCTACCTAGTAAATACTGTACTGGGTCTACCTAGTAAATGCTGTACTGGGTCTACCTAATAAGTACCGCACCGGGTGTACCTAGCAAGTACTGTACTGGGTGCACTTAGGAAGTACTGTACTAGATGTACCTAGCAGGTACTGTACTGGGTGTACCTAGCAAGTGCTGTACTGGGTGCACTTAGGAAGTACTGTACTAGATGTACCTAGCAGGTACTGTACTGGGTGTACCTAGCAAGTACTGTACTGGGTGCACTTAGGAAGTACTGTACTAGATGTACATAGCAGATACTGTACTGGGTGTACCTAGCAAGTGCTGTACCGGGTATACTTATCAAGTGCTGTACCGGGTCTACCTAGTAAGTACCGTACCGGGTGTACCTAGCAAGTACTGTACCGGGTATTGTTTATCCGCAGAATACTAACATAAATATCATGGGATCGCTAAGGGCACGGGACGTTATCATCAATGACAGTATTGTGTTTGCTAACTAGAATGTTGTCCTGTTTTTGTATGATTTGTACGCTTCTGTTCCGTGTTCGCAGTACCTCTAGCATGGACGACCTTCGTGGCTTAGAGCCTTAGAAAGTCACTAGATGTATATGGTAGGTGTTTGTGTGGTGTGTGTGTGTGTGTGTGTGTGTGTGTGTATGTGTGTGGATGAGTGTATTTTTTCCCTCCTATGAACAGGAGGTCGTTCATTGTCCTTCATCTGCTGTCTTATCTTCGTGGGTCGTGGGTCGTTGGTCGTGTCTTCACAGCTTCATTGAAAGAACTTTGTACTTGCAGAACTTTCGCCACTCTTTTATCTGTCCTCTTTCTTTCTTGTCTTTATCGTAGTTTCCTTGAGGTATTAACCTTCTGTTGTTCCTCTAAACTTTCAAAGATCTGTGCTTGTAGACTTTGTTTGCATTTGAAGCCACGAGTTGGTAAGTGTGTGTGTGTGTGTGTGTGTGTGTGTGTGTGTGTGTGTGTGTGTGTGTGTGTGTGTGTGTGGTGTGTGTGTGTGTGTGTGTGTGTGTGCGTGTGTGTGGGCGGGTGAGGATGCATGTGTGTGTTTGAGAGAGAGAAAGAGAGATCTTGTGTATGTGTTAGAGACAGCCTCTCACTGATCAATATAAAGAGTGAGACTGTATCTTGTGACAAAATATTTTAAGTGTATTGAGAGGATTTGTGTTTTTTTTCCTTCACAATCATCTGGCCAGTTCTCACACGGCTCTAAGAGACAGCAATCCTCTAAGAAGCAGTATCCCTTTAAGAGGCAATATCCCTCTAGGAGGCAGTATCCCCAGCAAGTATTGTACACTGTTCAGTAGTGTTGTGCAGCGAGCCAATGCTGTGCAAATTAGATAGGTGTTCGGTTTGGTAGTGATGTGTGGTTTTGTAGTGATGTTTGGTTTGACAGTTGTGTTTGGTTTGTAATGGTGTGTGGTTTTGTAGTGGTGTATGGGTTTTACAGTGGTGGGTTGTCAATGTGCTATATGTTGTCGTTATGGGTGGCAGCATCTGTGCCAACCACAGCACTCTTTCTCTCTCTCTCTCTCTCTCTCTCTCTCTCTCTCTCTCTCTCTCTCTCTCTCTCTCTCTCTCTCTCTCTCTCTCTCTCTCTCTCTCTCCTCTCTCTCTCTCTTCTCTCTCCTGTCGCTCCTTCCAGCTTTACTGGTTGTTGCTTATTACTGAGGCTTCTACCTCTCCCCTATTCCAATCCTCCTTACCTTCTGCCTTACCTCCACACCCTCCTTCCATCCCTGCTACGAGCTATCCATTTCCACACACCATTCATCCACTCTCGACACCTCATCCATCCATTCTCTCTCATTTCCCCCATCACAAACAGGTTTCCAAAACAAATTACATTCTCATCTGGTTCAAGCAGATGTTCTTTCTTTCTCATCTCTGGGAGTAGCGTATTTCCTATTTCCCTGATTCGAAATGTTTCTCGGAATTCTTAAAAACACGTTGTAGACCCAGGCTTTCGTTTCTCTACGTTTCTCCTTAAATAGGGTTTAGTGATAGTTGATAAATGCCCGTTTAGTGCGAAATGTCGTCTGATATTAGTTTGGCTTAGCTAGGTTCAATTAATGTTCGAAATGTAGATCTGTTGACCACTGTTCTATTCAAGGAGACAGTTATATTCTGTCTCTCACAGCAGCGTTTCTGTCACTCCCAGCAGTGTTCCATCCTGTCACTCCCAGCAGTGTTCCATCCTGTCACTCCCAGCAGTGTTCCATCCTATCACTCCTAGCAGTGTTCCATCCTGTCACTTCTAGCAATGTTCGATCCTGTCACTCCCAGCAGTGTTCCATCCTGTCACTCCCAGCAGTGTTCCATCCTGTCACTCCCAGCAGTGTTCCATCCTGTCATTCCCAGCAGTGTTCCATCCTGTCACTCCCAGCAGTGTTCCATCCTGTCACTCCCAGCAGTGTTCCATCCTGTCACTCTCAGCAGTGTTCCATCCTGTCACTCCTAGCAGTGTTCCATCCTGTCACTCCCAGCAGTGTTCCATCCTGTCATTCCCAGCAGTGTTCCATCCTGTCACTCCCAGCAGTGTTCCATCCTGTCACTCCTAGCAGTGTTCCATCCTGTCACTCCCAGCAGTGTTCCATCCTGTCACTCTTAGCAGTGCTCCATCCTATCACTCCCAGCAGTGTTGCATCCTGTCACTCCTAGCAGTGTTCCATCCTGTCATTCCTAGCAGTGTTCCATCTTGTCACTCCTAGCAGTGTTCCATCCTGTCACTCCTAGCAGTGTTCCATCCTGTCATTCCTAGCAGTGTTCCATCCTGTCACTCCCAGCAGTGTTGCATCCTGTCACTCCTAGCAGTGTTCCATCCTGTCATTCCTAGCAGTGTTTCCTGTCACTCCTAGCAGTGTTCCATCCTGTCACTCCCAGTAGTGTTCCATCCTGTCACTCCTAGCAGTGTTCCATCCTGTCATTCCTAGCAGTGTTCCATCCAGTCACTCCTAGCAGTGTTCCATCCTGTCACTCCTAGCAGTGTTCCATCCTGTCACTCCCAGCAGTGTTGCATCCTGTCACTCCTAGCAGTGTTCCATCCTGTCATTCCTAGCAGTGTGCCATCCTGTCACTCCTAGCAGTGTTCCATCCTGTCACTCCTAGTAGTGTTCCATCCTGTCACTCCTAGCAGTGTTCCATCCTGTCATTCCTAGCAGTGTTCCATCCTGTCACTCCCAGCAGTGTTCCATCCTGTCACTCCTAGCAGTGTTCCATCCTGTCACTCCTAGCAGTGTTCCATCCTGTCATTCCTAGCAGTGTTCCATCCTGTCACTCCTAGCAGTGTTCCATCCTGTCACTCCTAGCAGTGTTCCATCCTGTCACTCCTAGCAGTGTTCCATCCTGTCACTCCTAGCAGTGTTCCATCCTGTCACTCCCAGCAGTGTTCCATCCTGTCACTCCCAGCAGTGTTCCATCCTGTCACTCCCAGCAGTGTTGCATCCTGTCACTCCTAGCAGTGTTCCATCCTGTCATTCCTAGCAGTGTTCCATCCTGTCACTCCTAGCAGTGTTCCATCCTGTCATTCCTAGCAGTGTTCCATCCTGTCACTCCTAGCAGTGTTCCATCCTGTCACTCCCAGCAGTGTTCCATCCTGTCATTCCTAGCAGTGTTCCATCCTGTCACTCCTAGCAGTGTTCCATCCTGTCACTCCTAGCAGTGTTCCATCCTGTCACTCCTAGCAGTGTTCCATCCTGTCACTCCCAGCTGTGTTCCATCCTGTCACTCCCAGCAGTGTTCCATCCTGTCACTCCCAGCAGTGTTGCATCCTGTCACTCCTAGCAGTGTTCCATCCTGTCATTCCTAGCAGTGTTCCATCCTGTCACTCCTAGCAGTGTTCCATCCTGTCATTCCTAGCAGTGTTCCATCCTGTCAGTCCTAGCAGTGTTCCATCCTGCCATTCTTAGCAGTGTTCCATCCTGTCACTCCTAGCAGTGTTCCATCCTGTCACTCCTAGCAGTGTTCCATCCTGTCACTCCCAGCAGTGTTCCATCCTGTCGCTCCCAGCAGTGTTCCATCCTGTCAGTCCTAGCAGCGTTCCATTTTCTCATCCCTGAGTGTTCCATCCTGTCACTCTCAGCATTCTTCCAACCTGTCATTCTCAGCAGTGTTCCATCCTGTAACTCCTAGCAGTGTTCCGTCCTGTCATTCCTAGCAGCGTTTCATCCTGTCACTCCTAGCAGTGTTCCGTCCTGTCATTCCTAGCAGCGTTTCATCCTGTCACTCCTAGCAGTGCTCCTTCCTGTCAGTCCCAGCAGTGTTCCTTCCTCTCAGTCTTAGCAGTGTTCTTTCCTGTCACTCCTAGCAGTGTTCCTTCCTGTCACTCCCAGCAGCGTTCCTTCTTGTCACTCCCAGCAATGCTCCTTCCTGTAACTCCTAGCAGTGTTCCATCCTGTCAGTCATAGCAGTGCTCCTTCCTGTCACTCCTAGCAGTGTTCTTTCCTGTCTGTCTCAGCAGTGCTCCTTCCTGTCACTCCCAGCAGTGATCCTATTTCTCAGTCCCAGCAGCGTCCCTGTCAGTCCCAGCATTGATCCTATCTGTCAGTCCCAGCAGGCTTCCTGTCACTCCTGTCAGTGTTCCTGTCACTGCCAGCAGTGTTCCCGTCACTACCAGCACTGTTATTGTCATTGCCAGCAGTGTTCCCGTCACTGCCAGCAGTGTTATTGTCACTGCCAGCAGTGTTATTGTCACTGCCAGCAGTGTTATTGTCACTGCCAGCAGTGTTCCCGTCACTGCCAGCAGTGTTCCTGTCACTGCTAGCAGTGTTCTTGTCACTTCCAGCAGTGTTCCTGTCACTGCCAGTAGTGTTCTCACTCACACTCACCAGTAGACAGCCTTCGCTCGCAGCTCACAGTTCCGGATGGCATAGCTCAGTAGATGAAAAAACATCGCCCCTAGTTTACACCATGCTATGCTTTAGTTAGTGTTACGCTGCTGTACGGTCAATGGAGCGACGTTTCTCCTCCTCCTCCCGTGAGTCGCTACTTTCTCGACATCGCTTGATATTGAATCGGTAAATAGACACACATACAGCTAATGTGAGATTTTATTGCCACAATCAAACGTCATATTAGCTGCATCTGTGTCTGTTTTCACAACATTCTGTCGGTAATTCTACAATTAATACGAATATCGAATCACTCGCCCTTAGTTTTCTTCCACCTGTGAGTGACTTCTCCTCTATACCACCTCTTATATTCCCCTTACTCTGCTCCACATTGTCCTAGCTGCCTCTGCTCCATATAGCCCTTGCTGTACGCATGCCCTCCGCTGCCTTCCCCTACAAAAATTGCCCTCTCACCAGCATAGAGCGTGCGATTCACCAAGATCACCCCCGCTCTGGGACTTAAATTCAAAGGCGTTCTTTGCTTTCCTAGTTAGAGATAATCTAAAAAAATCTTTTGCTTCATATTAACTGGTGCAAAATTCTTTACAGTGGTGGATATACACAGTAAATGATTGGACTGTTGCTCTTCTCGCCTTATTAGTAAAGATTTTGTTTCAAGACTCGAAGCCCAAGACCGGGAGAGGTAGGTGTCTTGTGTGTGGGTCTCAGGGCTTGACTCCCTCCCTCCAACTGTCTCACCTTCAGGCCATTGACGTGTGGACCGGCGTATGCCTCACCTTCGTCTTCGGGGCGCTGCTGGAGTTCGCGCTCGTCAACTACGCCTCGCGCTCCGATAAACACCGTGAGAAGATGAAGGAGAAGCTGAAGGAGCAAAAGAAACAGTGGGAGGCGGAACACGCCGCAGCGTTGGAAGCCGCCATGCAGGACCAGACTGAAGACGGGCACACCTTTGCTATGGTAAATAACCTTGAGTAACGTCACCAGTGGAACTCCGAGGTGCCAGAACACAATGGGAAAGTCTCCTCCCTTAGCGGGGTCATATATTTCAATAGCCTTCCTTTTAATTATAACTACACTAAGAGTATTTATGGCTTGCTTCCCTCTCATTACCAGCTATATGTATCAAGCTAGCTTTATGGTATTATATACAGATATACATGAAATAAACACCACAGTAAGAAAAAAAACACAGCAGGCTTGCCTAAGCGCTGTCGTAATTCCTCGGCAGATGCGAAATGCACGGATGCGCTGAGGTGTTTGTTCCGTGTATGTGTTTTCTCCACACAGGTGTTTTTTCATATTTGTAGTCATGCATTCTTATATCGTTTTCCCCTCTCTATATGTAAGGTCTTGTGCTCTGTAGGGTGAAGGTAGAATAGGCTTAGCCTCACTAGTTCATACGTGTGCTTAACTTGTATGGCAGCCATGTTGTTTCAAACGTTCTGGCACCAGTGAGTCTCTTACTGTTTTCATTCCGTGTTCGTTTTGCCTGTTTCTTTGTGTTCCCTTAATGTTTACATCCCGAGAATGGATTTATCAATATGCTTGGCCAGATAGTGTGGATAATCCCTAGTGAAATTTGACATGCAAGTTGACCTTTATAATATGTCCCAATTTTTCTCCGTCTACCTGTGTTCCCTTTCTCCCTTACAGTTCCTATCTAGCCCACTGCTAAAGGCTCCTCTAAATCCTCTTATGTCTCCCACACTAGAACCCTTTGACCACGCTCCCCTAGATTAGAAACCAATGCAATAGAGGAGTATAGAGGAAGAGTGTGGGGTAGAGGGGTTTCAGTTTTTTGGCTAGAAGTCATTCATGTACAGTAGAGCTTCTTCTAAAAGGGTGTTTCAAATCTTGCCCTGTCCAGCCGGCTTCTCCACCCCGTCCACGACGGTTGATGGACCTGCTTATCGCTAAGACGGTAAGTGTGGCACCTGTCCAGGTGCTAGGAGAGTGACTCATGCCTTGCCTTGCTAAGAGATAATGACACATGCCTCACACACCCACCTGCCTTGCTGGGAAACAGTGCCCACGCCTCTCACACTCACCTGCCTTGCTAGGAGGCAACAACATACGCATCTCACACTCACCTGCCTTGCTAGGAGGCAACAACATACGCATCTCACACTCACCTGCCTTGCTAGGAGGCAACAACATACGCATCTCACACTCACCTGCCTTGCTAGGAGGCAACAACATACGCATCTCACACTCACCTGCCTTGCTAGGAGGCAACAACATACGCATCTCACACTCACCTGCCTTGCTAGGAGGCAACAACGTACGCATCTCACACTCACCTGCCTTGCTGGGAAACAGTGCCACACGCTAACATACGCATCTTAATACTAATAAATTGATGAATAAGATACTCGCTTCACCTGCTGTGCAGGTGAAGCGTTTCGCCAATGAAAACTCCAAAGTATCGTACATGTGTCTTAACTATCACACCTCTGCCACACAAAGCAATGTGCTGGCCGTGTGTCTTGCATTCTGCAACCAGATTTCTGTTTTATTTTTTAGCGGGGGACTGAGCTGTTACAGGGGAACATCGTTCACTTTTCTCAACTCACCCAACTTGAAAATAATCAAATCCTCTCTCTAAACGTCTTCGGTTATTTAAGTAGCTCGGTAAATGCCAACCTGTGTGCCACTGTACGCTGCGCTTACGTCTTCCTCCATTCTTATGTTTTAAGGATGGAGGTTACTAGGCATCACTGACAATGCAATTACTAACAGTGAGAATGGCTATTATTATTATTATTATTATTATTATTATTATTATTATTATTATTATTATTATTATTATTATTATTATTATTATTATTATTATTATTATTATTCATACAGCGACTGTGGTATAAAAGGTAATCAAGTCTAATGCATGAAAGGAGAGGGGTAACTCCTCTTCAAGGGTATCAAGAACTCACTTTGAAGGCTGTCCTGTTGTTCTGTTGTACAGAGTGTTCAAGGTCATTCTTGAATGTTGCAGTGTTCCTCTCTGTCAGAGAATGTTGCACAAGGAGACAGTCAAGACGGTATTGTGTTGTATAGTCCGGCGGGTTCCTCCTAGTACAGTCGGCTGGATTGCAGGGAATTAGACACATATGCACAGTCAAAACGCTTACTGATGGAAACGTTTTATCAGTCCTAATGATTGTGCATATATATGTCTGATTTTCACAGTGTATCCATGGTAGGTAAGACACATGGGCAACAGTTAGGCAACTTTATTCCGAAACGTTTCGCCTACACAGTAGGCTTCTTCAGTCGAGTACAGAAAGTAGATAGGAGCAGTAGAGATGTGAAGACGATGTAATCAGCCCATCACCCTATAAGTCGTAGATTTGAGGTTGTCAGTCCCTCAGCCTAGAGACGAGTTCTGTTCCATAGTCTGAAACAATATACAGAGATAAGCGACAGGTTGGAGACTTATATACTGTCGGAAGGAGAGGTGCAGAGTAGTAGAAGAGAAAATGTAGCCACTGAGAGGTCACGTACTTCTCAGATCAAGTAATTCTCACTTGAAAAAGTTGTCCAAGGTGTTTTCTCTTCTGTACCAAGATGCCATTGTGTTGCAGTGTCTGACAGAGTGAATATCAAAATGGTATATAATACCGACAGGTTGGTAGGAAAGACACATAGGCAACACTTAGGTATCTTAATTCCCAAACGTTTCGCGTTTCCGTGGTTGTTTTGCAACCATATACATATATATATATATATATATATATATATATATATATATATATATATATATATATATATATATATATATATATATATATATATATATATATATATATATATATATATATAATATATATATATATATATATATATATATATATATATATATATATATATATATATATATATATATATATATATATATATATACATAACCCAAAATTTGGTTCATCTGATTCTCGAGTTATTTGTGTGAATCGAAGGGCACTCTCACACACACACACACACACACTCAAACACTTCCTATTTTATATATAAGATATATAGTGTGTTAATACAACAGCAAATAGATAAACAAGTTTTATTTTAATTTTGATTTATATACCCAAGAGTTTATACAAGTTTATATATATATATATATATATATATATATATATATATATATATATATATATATATATATATATATATATATATATATATATATATATATATATATTTATTATCTTTTCTCTAAACTTTACCTTTGTGTAAACATCACCTGTGTAACCACTGCCTTTTGTCTAAATTTAACCTAAATTTAACTTCACCTGTTATTTAACATCAGCTAAGACGCCTGGTGTCTAAACTCTCCTTATAATTGATATAATTCAATATAAGCCACAATATCGTGACTGGAATAACATTCATTATAGAGAGGACACTGTAGAGGACGTTTCGCTCTGTCATGAACCATTATTAGATCACAAATTATGATCTGATACTGATCCCAATCGTGTAGAAACGTCGTTTAGAAAAATCTTCTTTCGAAAGCTTGGGTTGTTAGTGGTTAACATCCGCAAAATTGTATATAGTTTCAGTGGATGGGTTTCAACCCCTCGTTATACGCAGATACTGGCGTAGGTGTTTCGTTCTGCTGTTGATGAGTTTCTCTCTCCCCCGTGTTGCGCCCCGCAGAAGCCACTGGTGTCACGTCACAACGGCGGGATGGGTGGGGACAAGGGGCGTCCCTGCGAGATCCACCTTCAGGCGCCTCGCAAGAACTGTTGCAGGACGTGGCTGGCCAAGTTTCCAACCCGTAGCAAGCGCATAGATGTCATTTCGCGCATCACCTTCCCTCTGGTCTTCGCCTTCTTTAACATGGCATACTGGAGCACCTATCTCTTCACCGAAGATGAAGAGGAGGAGGATAACCCCAAGTAAACTAAGAGGTGAGTAATTGAAGGAGAGTTACAGAGTACGTCGACTTACCAGAGATCAGAAGTAAGTACTTCGACTTGACTTATTGGAGATTCAGAGTTGTGTATTTCAAGAGTGAATTTCACTATGTAACTCAGTGTGTAAACATCTCTATGTCACCTTTTTTGGCAAATCAGAATAGCAATGCTTTGGTAAATCAAACTTTTCGAATTATTATTTATTATTATTATTATTATTATTATAGTTCTTATTATTATTATTATTATTATTATTATTATTATTATTACTATTATTATTATTATTATTATTATTATTATTATTATTATTATTATTATTGCTATTATTATTATTATTATTATTGTTATTATTATTATTATTATTATTATTATTATTATTATTATTATTATTATTATTATTATTATTATTATTATTATTGCTATTATTATTATTATTTATTATTATTATTATTATTATTATTATTATTATTATTATAAATAATAATAATAATGAAAATAATAATAATAATCTTCAGGGAAGAAAATCTGTGTCTTTTCCTAAAGTTGTCTAGAGTATTTTCCTCCACTACAGCTACGTAAGTTTTTTCCCATTGGCAGAAATTTAACTATCAAGAAATCTTTTCTCTGAATTTATAACATAATTTTCTCCCTCCCTACAGTTAGCAGCTTGGTTTGACACCTGAGCAGACGTGGGAGGCTTGGATGGGTGCAGCTGCTGACCGAAATATCGAGTACTTTTCCATCTGAGAGAAACCTCGTATGTGTCTTTCCATCTAAGTGGGACGGAATATCACTACCCATCTGAGACGAAACATCAATACTTGGATGGGTAGATAACCCCCGAGTAACGTGAATCATTAACGTGGTGCAACTTAGAGGATTAGAATCGTAAACGTGTGGTATTATAAGTGACTAGACTCTTGGGATGCCGGATTCTGGATCACTGGAACGATGGATGGCAGAATCCATGAATGACTGGTAATATAGACAACTGGAACCACAAACAATTGGTACTTAGAGAGCTGAAACTCATCTGAAGCTGAAGAATCAGTTACCTAAATTCCTATTAGACAGAAAGATAAATTTATGACTGTAATCCTGGAAAATAACGTTCCATAGAAACTGGAACAATAAATAACTGGGAATATTTAGTAGCGTGGTTCATGGTTAACCTGGACTACTGACAACTGAATCACTGAATGACTGGGAACGTAGGTAACTAGAAAAGTAGTGATTGGTCCGGTAAAAAAGATTCCGGAAAAACGAAGAGCGAAGACAGTTTATGGATTCACCGTAACAACTGGAAAAACGTCAACAAATTATATCCACGAATCCGGATTCCTACTTCGTCGTACGTAACTGGAAATAAAAGTGACAGGGACAGTAGGTAACTCTGAAAACAAAACATAGGTACCTGAGGCAGTATAAGTGACGTAATGAAACAAGAATACATAAGAGGATTGAGGGTAGGATTCAGTTCTCTGTTATGGTTCTACAAGGACTGGGCCATCAACGGCACAGGGCGGTGACCAACGAAGGTGACTGACCAGCTTCATCATTAAAGCCGGAAAGGAACGAACAATGTTTACGAATCCGACTGCGAGGTATATATTAAAGCGTCGGTGTAGAGAAGGGCAGAGGGTAAATACTCTGAGAGATAAGAATAACATTAGTAATAATATATTAGTGATTCCTGTTCTTCCAAGTGAGATTATCCTCTACATAAAAGCCATGTAAATTTGTGTGTGTATATATAAAGACGAATTGTAAACGAATATCTTGAGTTTGAGGAATGTATATGTAAATATTTAGGAGAACTAATTACTTTAGCGACCTGATCTCTGGAACTAAGACCGGTATCTTCATGTCATGATTAGCGTTGGTCAAGTCCCTGAACATTTGAAAAAAAAATTACCACTGTTTATCGTGATTTTTCCGAACCAAATCTACCCCCCAAATTTTTTTTTTTGAGAGGGTAGGGGGAGGGAGATTTCGAGAGATGACCAAAATTTGGAAGACGTTCTGCAAGTGAGTTACCACACGTTTTTTTGTTTATTGATAATACGGGGATGTATAAATATTGATAACTACACGATAATGTGAGGGTAGATAACAGGAAAATCACCAGTAAGAAATGTGACATGTATGATGTGATGTTACGTAACATGACATATATGTTACGTAAGATGACCCTGATGTCACGTAACATTTCCCAAATGTCACATAGCATGACCCAGATGTCACGTAACATGGCCCAGATGTCACGTAACATTTCCCAGATGTCACGTAACGTAGCACAGCAGTCACGTAACATGGCCCAGATGTCACGTAACAGTCATAATACTCCTTCACTCTCTGGTAACAGTGACTTTTCTAGTAAAATTGTTACCACCAATCATCTGTTAAATAGTTGTACAAAGAAGTTAATAACCAGTAAGACATCTTTAATGTTGACAAGACGTCAGTGATGTCAGATTGCCAGAGTTTCCTTAGCAATAATTACACTGTATCCTCACCTTCAAGGCAAACATGAGAGAGCTTCCAACTCTACAGGGATCAAGTATATGGGATGTAAGAGCATTGAAGGAGGATTCGCTTCATATAGCAGTATTTTTTTAATTTCTTGGGGTAGCTAGTTGTTTATGTTTTGTTTACTAACAGTAGGACATTGTTTACTAACAGTAGGACATTGTTTACTAACAGTGGGACTTTGTTTACTAACAGTAGGACTTTGTTTACTAACAGTAGGACATTGTTTACTAACAGTAGGACTTTGTTTACTAACAGTAGGACATTGTTTACTAACAGTAGGACTTTGTTTACTAACAGTAGGACTTTGTTTACTAACAGTAGGACATTGTTAACTAACAGTGGGACTTTGTTTACTAACAGTGGGACTTTGTTTACTAACAGTGGGACTTTGTTTACTAACAGTAGGACTTTGTTTACTAACAGTAGGACTTTGTTTACTAACAGTAGGACTTTGTTTACTAACAGTAGAACTTTGTTTACTAACAGTAGGACATTGTTTACTAACAGTGGGACTTTGTTTACTAACAGTGGGACTTTGTTTACTAACAGTAGGACTTTGTTTACTAACAGTGTTGACAGCAGGGAGGGGTTGACAGCAGAGAGGGGTTGACAGCAGGGAGGGGTTGACAGCAGGGAGGGGTTGACAGCAGGGAGGGGTTGACAGCAGTGAGGGGCTGACAGCAGGGAGGGGTTGACAGCAAGGAAGGGGTTGACAGCAGGGAGGGGTTGACAGCAGAGAGGGGTTGACAGCAGGGAGAGGGTTGACAGCAGAGAGGGGTTGACAGCAGAGAGGGGTTGACAGCAGGGAGAGGTTGACAGCAGGAAGGAGTTGACAGCAGGGAGGAGTTGACAGCAGGGACTGGTTGAGAGCAGTTAGGGGTTGACATCAAAGAGGGGTTGACAGCAGGGAAGTTTTGACAGCTGGGAGGAATTGACAGCAGGGAGGGATTGACAGTAGTGAGAGATTAACAGCAGGTAGAGCTTGACAGTAGGGAGGGATTAACAGCAGTTAGAGCTTGACAGTAGGGAGGGGTTGACAGCAGGGAGAGATTGACAGTAGGGAGGGATTAACAGCAGGGAGAGATTGACAGTAGGGAGGGATTAACAACAGGGAGGGATTAACAGCAGGGAGAGATTGGAAGTAGGGAGGGATTAACAGCAGGGAGAGATTGACAGTAGGGAGGGATTAACAGCAGGGAGGGGCTGACAGTAGGGAGGAGTGACACCAGGGAGGGGTTGACAGCAGGAAGGGGTTAACAGCAGGGAAGGGTTGACAGCAGCGAGGGGTTGACAGCAGAGAGGGGCTGACACTAGAAAGGGAGTGACACTAGGCAGAAGTTGACAGCATCCAGGGTTGACAGCATCCAGGGGTTGACAGCATCCAGGGGTTGAGAGCATCCAGGGGTTGACAGCATCCAGGGGTTGACAGCATCCAGGGGGTGACATCATCCAGGGGTTGACAGCATCCAGGGGTTGATAGCATCCAGGGGTTGACAGCATCCAGGGGTTGACAGCATCCAGGGGTTGACAGCATCTAGAGGTTGACAGCATCCAGAGATTGACATCATCCAGGGGTTGACAGCATCCAGGGGTTGACAGCATCCAGGGGTTGACAGCATCCAGGGGTTGACAGCATCCAGGGGTTGACAGCATCCAGGGGTTGACATCATCCAGGGGTTGACAGCATCCAGGGGTTGACAGCATCCAGGGGTTGACAGCATCCAGGGGTTGACAGCATCCAGGGGTTGACAGCATCCAGAGGTTGACAGCATCCAGAGATTGACATCATCCAGGGGTTGACAGCATCCAGGGGTTGACAGCATCCAGGGGTTGACAGCATCCAGGGGTTGACAGCATCCAGGGGTTTGAACATCATCCAGGGGTTGACAGCATCCAGGGGTTGACAGCATCCAGGGGTTGACAGCATCCAGGGGTTGACAGCATCCAGGGGTTGACATCGTCCAGGGGTTGACAGCATCCAGGGGTTGACAGCATTCAGGGGTTGACATCGTCCAGGGGTTGACAGCATCCAGGGGTTGACAGCATCCAGGGGTTGACAGCATCCAGAGGTTGACAGCATCCAGAGATTGACATCATCCAGGGGTTGACAGCATCAGGGGTTGACAGCATCCGGGGGGTTGACAGCATCCAGGGGTTGACAGCATCCAGGGGTTGACATCATCCAGGGGTTGACAGCATCCAGGGGTTGACAGCATCCAGGGGTTGACAGCATCCAGGGGTTGACAGCATCCAGGGGTTGACATCGTCCAGGGGTTGACAGCATCCAGGGGTTGACAGCATCCAGGGTTGACATCGTCCAGGGGTTGACAGCACCCGGGGGGTTTGACAGCATTCAGGGGTTGACAGCATCCAGGGGTTGACAGCATCCAGGGGTTGACAGCATCCGGGGGTTTTGACATCGTCCAGGGGTTGACAGCATCCAGGGGTTGACAGCATCAGGGGTTGACATCGTCCAGGGGTTGACAGCACCCGGGGGTTGACAGCATCAGGGGTTGACAGCATCCAGGGGTTGACAGCATCCAAGGGTTGACAGAAACCAGGGGTTGACAGCATCCGGGGGTTGACAGCATCCAGGGGGTTGACAGATCCAGGGGTTGACAGCACCAGGGGTTGACAGCATTCAGGGGTTGACAGCATCCCAGGGGTTGACAGCATCCGGGGGTTTGACAGCATCCAGGGGTTGACATCGTCCAGGGGTTGACAGCATCAGGGGTTGACAGCTTTTCGGGGGTGACAGCATCCAGGGGTTGACAGCATCCGGGGGTTGACAGCATCCAGGGGTTGACGCATCCAGGGGTTGACAGCATCTAGAGGTTGACAGCATCCAGAGATTGACATCATCCGGGGGGTTTGACAGCATCCAGGGGTTGACAGCATCCAGGGGTTGACAGAAATCCAGGGGTTGACAGCATCCAGGGGTTGACAGCATCCGGGGTTGACTCATCCGGGGGTTTTGACAGAAATCCAGGGTTGACAGCATCCAGGGGTTGACAGCATCCGGGGGTTTTGACAGCACCAGGGGTTAAACAGCACCAGAGGTTGACAGCATCCAGAGATTGACATCATCCAGGGGTTGACAGCATCCAGGGGTTGACAGCATCCAGGGGTTGACAGCATCCAGGGGTTGACAGCATCCAGGGGTTGACATCATCCAGGGGTTGACAGCATCCGGGGGTTTGACAGCATCCAGGGGTTGACAGCATCCAGGGGTTGACAGCATCCAGGGGTTGACATCGTCCAGGGGTTGACAGCATCCAGGGGTTGACAGCATTCAGGGGTTGACAGCATCCAGGGGTTGACAGCATCAGGGGTTGACAGATCAGGGGTTGACATCGTCCAGGGGTTGACAGCATCCAGGGGTTGACAGCATTCAGGGGTTGACAGCATCCAGGGGTTGACAGCATCCAGGGGTTGACAGCATCCAGGGGTTGACATCGTCCAGGGGTTGACAGCATCCGGGGGTTTGGGACAGCATCCAGGGGTTGACATCGTCCAGGGGTTGACAGCATCCAGGGGTTGACAGCATCCAGGGGTTGACAGCATCCAGGGGTTGACAGCATCCAAGGGTTGACAGCATCCAGGGGTTGACAGCATCCAGGGGTTGACAGCATCCAGGGGTTGACAGCATCCAGGGTTGACAGCATCCAGGGGTTGACAGCATCCAGGGGTTGACAGTAGGGAGGAGGAGGGTAATCCTTAACCTTATCTAAATTATACCAAAAATGAAATTCTTATAAATTAATTCAATCTATCACAACTTCTTTACAAAACTGAAAAAAGTTCATTCAAGATTGAATAAAAAGTATTATAAAGGCCTTTACAACGTCTATTCAATCTTAGATGAAGTTTTTCAGTCATATTTTCAATAAAAATATCGTATTATATAAAGGAGGTTTAAGATAGAACTGGCTTCAGAAGTAGTCTCGTAAAGCATGGATTACGTTCCTGAGAATCAGCGTGTACTATGAAGTGAAGAACGTGTGCTTGGTAGCTGTTTACGTTCCAGTAACTCCATTGTGATGTGAATTTAAGAGCATACGGGAAATATTTAGTTGCGTTCTAACAACTTGCTGCCCCAGTTACCATCAGACCTGTATTACCTTAACATAAATCTGACATTTTCATTTTTTTAACAGCTTTAAAGATATGTTTTTCTTCTTCTCTTCTTCTTCTTGTCGCCTCCAGCATCACTAGTCTTCCGGTTAGATTCTATGTACTAGAGACCTGATAGAATAATGGCAATATCAAAAAATAGATTTATAAAAACGGAGGACCAAGCCATACTCTGCGTGGGGGTGGTCACTGGTGCCCATGAAATGCTCTAAAACCGTCAATCTAAACGCAGTATGCAAAATTTGCATGTGACTTAGTATCGGTACCACAGTGCATGGTACCGATACTACAAATGTTAGCTAATATTTTGTTTTTTAAGATTATTATTGAAAGTCGCTGCAAGAAAATAGCGAAGCGTGAGATCGTAAAGCGTAAAGTAACAAAAAATGTAATCGTGAAGCGTGAAATGTGAAATCTCGAAGCGCAAAGCATAAAATCGCGAAACGTGAAATCTCAATCTGCGAAACGTGAATTGTGAAGGATGAACATGAAATCGCGATTCGCGAAGCGCGAAATCGCAAAGCGTGTAATAGCGAAGCTTGAAAATCGCGAAGCGTGAAAATAGCGAAACGTAAAAAAACGCTTTTGCAAGTGAGTTTACTCTCTTAAAGCCGTTTGGACAATAAGAGCAACAGTCCAGAGCTCATCCGTCGAGTACAAGAGTTGTGTTGTCACAGTGTTGAAAATACCCAGCCCAGTGTTGTAGCTCTTGTGCTGCAACACACACTGTGTGTTCTACCACTTGTTACAGGTTCTTGTTGACACTTGCAGTGTATACTGTTTCAGTGTATACTTCTCAGTGTATACCTGTATACATCTTCTCATCAGTATTACATGTACATAGACGGGTTGTATGTTTGAAATTTGGCTCTGATTTTTATTGCTCTACTTACTGTTATTGTCTTCTGTTTCTGTTTATTCCCTTCTCTTTCTTAGTGTTCTCGTGGTTCACTGTTACTGTTTGTATTCTCTGTCTCTCTGTCTCTCTCTCTCTCTCTCTCTCTCTCTCTCTCTCTCTCTCCATCAAGTATTCCTCAGAATTCTCTGTTACAAAACATTGTAAAAAGTTAGCATATGTAAATATTGCCATTTTGTGATCTAATTTACAAATCACTCGCTAAAACGTAGTTATATCTTACGGAACGAGTGCGTAAGTATCATTCTAACTGAACGAACGAGTGAACAAGTGTTTATGTTTCTGCTCAAAGTTGCTAAGTGTTGTTGATCTACCCTCTAGAACACTTCCTTTGAGCACTGACTCTGCTAATTCCATGGTTATGGTCCTGGTGAAGTGGATAAGGTTGAAAATTTTAGATATAAGCGTGTCGTTATGGCCACTGTGTTAATGTCGGCAAATGTTGAAGTTGATAAGGACGGAAAGACGTATATGTTAGCGTGTAGTTATGGCCTCTGTGATAATGTTTTGAGGGTCAGTAACGTTTACAGAGATGAAAGAAATATACATATTACCTTGTAGTTTTAGTTATGTTAATGTTGGTGGTTGGTAAGAGAGGAAAACTGGTGGAAAATGAACGAAGATGCATGGGATTTCAGTGAAGGTGAGGCTGTAGTATTATTGATAGTGAAGAAAGGAATGAAAATGAGAGCTTACGGTGATAGTGAGGCCTTGATCTTCGACGAACACTCAAGATTACGAAGAGAACACAAGAATATAAGAAAGAAGGAACACTGCAGTAGGCCTACTGGCCCATACTAGGCAAGTTCTTTGCCCAACACATTTTCAATGCTACCCAGGAATAAGCTTTGAAAATCTAAAATGTTAGGTGCTTTAGCTGATAACACACATGAAAGCTATAATAAGAAGATAGAAAGCTGCGGGAGCGAGTTTGTTATCCCAAGACATTGATTCGAACAACTCACACCCAACTAATATTTAAACTAGTCAATAGAAAGGCAAAACAAATCAGAAATTCTAACGTCAGTAGAGGAAAAACACGAAAGTGAGTGAGGTTTCAGTAGGCATTACGACATTCGTGTGAGTGACATCCCCACACGAACACAGGAGCACCGATAACATCACGCACGAATGACACACAAAAATGAATTTGGGAAAAAAAGATTTGCAACAAAAATGGTATATTTGAATGCATGTTCTTAAAATAAACAAAACAAAAACGGCGCAGTTGAAAATTGAAATTGCTTAATAAGCACCGATAAGAATACGTAGATTATTTTAAAGTTGGTGAAGTGGTTAGTACGCCTGAAGTGTTGGAGGCTCGATCCACCGCCCGCTTAAAGCGGCTCTATCTCTGATCAGCCAGCCTGTTTGTGTAAACAACTTAGCAGAGAAATAGTTGAATCTAGTGGCTTGTTTAGTGGCTTACAAACTACACATGACGCTATCAATAATAATAATAATAATAATAATAATAATAATAATAATAATAATAATAATAATAATAATAATAATAATAATAATAATAACGATAATAATGATACTTTTATTTTATATTATTATTATTATTATTATTATTATTATTATTATTATTATTACTATTATTATTATTATTATTATTATTATTCGTGAAGAAGTGCTAAGGTCACTGAGAGGAAATCAGGTTTGCTCCGAGGAAAGAGAGGGCAGATCCAACTCCTCTGATCAAAGGCACCTTCCTAGAAGGGTAAAAACAGTATTTTATCTCATTAGTC